AGTCTCTTCTCCAGCGACGGAGACCGAAGATAGAAGGTACAAGAACTGCTTCAATTTCTTGACGGACGGCATCGAGCCAAATCTCCAGTTACCCTCATCTTTGACGCCTCCAGGGGGCTGCGGTTTCGGATTGAGGGCAGCATATCAAAGCTCGTGGGGCGGACGACAGAGAACGTGCCCAAACAAACCTCAGTCGCCCTTCATGAATGGCCTAAGAAATCCTCGCGACACGATCGCAGCGATTGCGGACTGTCCCATTCGAGATGAAGTCGCATAAGTATATAAGTATCCAGTAAACGGGAAAGTGCGAAGTCGAATTTTTATAGAAAATGGAAATCTAGTGAGCCTACGTGCCAAAAAAGTTATTGTTTCGTGGCTAATTATCGAGGAAACCTACAAATAAAGGGTCAACATCTCTTGAGTATGGGCGTATACAGTAAATTCCCCTATTCCATGCAAGGTCTACCAAAATTATAAAACACGCTTTCGATTCGGCCTTATCAATTGAGTATGGTTGTATTACTGCTTCTTGTTAACCGCCTGAAAAAGGTATACTGCGCAAAAAATTGCTGGTTGAGTAGTTTGCATTTTTTCGCCGCGATTTTCACTGCTCTTATAAATTTAAATATATTTGATAGAAAAAATGCGTAAAATATTGTTTCTTGTACTCTTTGGGTAGAAAATTATGCTTTTTTCAAAGTATATACTTGACGGAAGGCCATCTTTAGGTTTCAGAAATATGCATTCATAAAGCAACATATCTTCCCACTTATGAATGCCTCCTATAAGTTCTACAGCTTAATGCAGATTCATAGCAAAATCATATGAGAAATATATGGTTTCTTCCTCGACGCAATGGGAAATATTTACTAAGCCTTCGACGGAATGTATAGGGTATGCAATTTGGAGACCGTGAATTTAAGGGTATTGGCCAGTAGTGTTAAAGTTATTCAGCCATTTATAAAGGTTTTTTTTAAAAGAAAAAGATACCCTTTCTTCAACTGACTTAAGTATCTTGAGATTAGCCTGCATGATAATCGAATCAGGAACATATTTCAGAATTTAAACTGACATTGTATTGCGTTTTGGTGACTACTTATTGCAGGTGGCACAATCAGCGCTTTGAAACGGAACATTGCAGAAATGGACATTTTGTCATTTTTTTCATCTGCGAATGTGTTGCATCACAAAATGACCATATCTTCCTACACAAAATTACCTTTGGCGGACGAATAAATAGCTTGCCCCCTGTGGTCCATACCTGCTAGGCCGCTAAGGAAAGTTTGGACGTGTTTTCTTCCTGATTGTTTATAAGAGTGGATGGCTTCTCAATCTAAATTTCCCATAAGGCTTTATAAATCCTAGTGAAAGATATTCCTGCATTTCCGGCAATTTCTGTTTTTGTCCAAATCCTGCCTGATTTCCTCCAATAAACCAGATTGGAAATTATAATATTCTTTAGGAAGAGGCTTTCCGCCCCTCAGATGTGCTCAACAACTCAAATTCAAAACACTATTCTGCTGTTTTCTCGTCTATTGTTGACAGCTGAACTACTCCAACCCTCTTCTGGGGAAGTGGTTACCGGTTGCGTCCATATGTCCTTTAAGGGGTTTGTGGAGGGGTGAAGAATGTGTACTTTTTTCACCAAAGAGTACAAAAAAGAATATTTAATGGTGTTTTTTATATAAAATAAACTTGGATTTACAAGACCGGCGAAATCAATGAGAGAGATGCATGCTACGCAGGTAGTCATTTTTTACAAAGTAGAAGTTTTGCAGGTGCTCGTTCAAAAGCCGGCAATCTTTAGATTAGCCTGTATGATAATTAATATAACAACACGGCTTACGTAATTTGTTCAAATCGAAAACATATTTCGAAATTTAAACTGATATTTTATGAGATAAGGAATCTACTGAAGTAGTTACTGTGGCTACTTATTGGGATGGCACAAGCAGCGTTTTGAAACGGAACATTGTCATTTGTTCACCTGTGAATGTGTTGCATCGCAAACAGACCATATCTCCATTTCCTAAATCGCCTTTGTCCGACGAGTATATGAGCCGCTCCCTGCGCTACATACCTGCTAGGCCGCTAAGGAAAATTTGTACGTGTTTTCTTCCTGGTCGTTTAGGAGAATGGACGGCTGCTTAACCCAAATATTTCATTAGGCTTTATAAAATCTGGTGAAAGACATTGTTGGAGTTCCGGCGACCTTCGATTTTGTCCAAACACTGCCTGATTTCCTTCTTTACAAGACATGCTGACACTCAAATACACTCAACGAATAGAAACACTCCACTGCTGTTTTCTCTTCCACTTTCGACAGCTGAAATTCTCCCTCCTCCGTTACTCACATGTTGGATGCGGTGGCTAGTCATTTAGGCAGATTTGCATTACCGACAAAGGCAAGAAACAGCGGATTGGTTATTTCCAGTTCATTAATCGTCAACAACCAGTCATACCCAATCCCACTGGTGGCGATCCCCAAGTCTCCAACGCACAACCTGCTGCTTAGAAGTTCAACGCTTTAACCATTGAGCCAAGGGCTGCTTGCCCTGCTGGTTTAGATTGCGAATGTTGATGCTCGTTGACGAATTTTCCTCGATCGCTAACGGAACTCACGCATCCCGCTCTGGAACATTGCAGCTGAGAAAATTTTGGCATTTCTTCATCTGCAGATCTGGTGACGGCGACTGTGTTGCATCACAAAATTACCACTTTTTCCTGTCCAAAATCGCATTTGACCAACTCGACCCTTGTACTGCATGCCTGCTGAAAAAATATTCGATATGTTTTCTTCCAGATCATTTCTGCGAATGGATGGTTTCTAAACCAAAAGTTTCAATTTTGTCCACGTCCTGCTTAATTTCCTCCAATGAGCCAGAGCAGAAATATACTGTCCCTCAGTAAAAAAATTTTCTTACCCTTCTGGACGTTGTTTGCTGATAAAATAAACGTCGAAAAAGATACAGTTACGGCCGATATTTAATGCAAAATTTCAAAAGTTGCGAAAAATTGATAACCGCTCGCAAGCCGGTATTAAGTAGGGTCGTAGTACTGATTATCGTGCAGCCTAAGCTCAAATCATTTCAGTCACGACAGAATGTTGGCTTTTTTCTGACGACATAAAGGGATTACGCATAGAAGCGAATATGCGTGCCCCAGGTTCTTGTTGTAAAGAAGACGAAGACGCGATCTCTGGAACGATAGTTTTATTCTGAGTTTTTGGCTCCACACGAGAAGCCATTGTCAGAATAAATGAGAAGAGCAGACGTCAGCTACGCATAAATGGGGTTGGTAGGGGAGGTGGGGTGGTGGCGATTATTTATTGGTT